CAAAATATATATATATATATATATATATATATATATATATAGGCAGAATGATATTACCGACAAAGACAAGGGAGACCGGAATGGCCATTTCTGGCTTATAAGCCGTCGTCAGCCAGCCATACCCAAGCCCGAAGTGTGGAACACTCGAGCCTCGAACTCGCGACCTGTTGGTTTAGAAATCAACGCCTCTACTCACCGGGCCACGAGCCCGTTGCCCTGTCGGCTTTCGATCGGGAATATACAACGTTAGAGGGCGCTCACCGATCGTTCATACGGAACTCACTCGTTCCGTTATGCCTTATGGACTCTCTCTCGAGCCCAACCAGCAGCCGCACAGCGGCGCATGATATATAGGCAGGCTCGTGGCCCGGTGAGTAGAGGCGTTGACTTCTAAACTAGCAGGTCGCGAGTTCGAGGCTCGGGTGTTCCACACTTCGGGCTTGGGTATGGCTGGCTGACGACGGCTAATAAGCCAGAAATGGCCATTCCGGTCTCCCTTGTCTTTGTCGGTAATATCATTCTGCCTATATATCATGCGCCGCTGTGCGGCTGCTGGTTGGGCTCGAGAGAGAGTCCATAAGGCACAACGGAACGAGTGAGTTCCGTATGAACGATCGGTGAGCGCCCTCTAACGTTATATATATATATATATATATATATATATATATATATATATATATATATATACATATATCGCCTGCATCATCTCCCGAAGAAGACGAAGAAGAAGATAGGGCGAATTCATGGACCATATTGTATTCGAACTGACGTTTCGGAAACTTCCTCGTTTCCATCATCAGAGTGGCGTAATTGTTGCACTTGTCGGTCTTGAGTTGTTCAGTCTTGCCGCTTGCCTCGTATTATAGCCGTTCTGGACGCACGAACTTTGACCTGCCTGTTTGCCGCTGACTGGCTTAGACCTCCCCGGGCTGACCGCCGACAGGCCTGCGTGACATTTGTTCCCTTTGGGGTCGGCGTAATTGGGGTCAAATCCACGTGCCGCTTGGCCTCTCCCACGTCAGCCGTTGGACTGATCGGTCGTTGCTGTTCAGGTGAGCAGCATTCAGCTTCGCGGGCGCATCGGTGAGACAGTGTTCGGCCTTGATCACATGACCCCTGGCCCCCAATTCCGCTCTTTTCCGTGAGCGTTGACTCTCGGTCCCGCGTGCTCGTTTGCCTTACTGGTCCTGTCCGGACTGATCCGAGCCTTGTACGCAACGCCTGGTAGGCGGGATGTAGACCTATAGCTCGGTTAAGTGTACCAGCCCAGGACCAACTTTCGAGCACCAGTCTGGCCATCTTCTTAATGGCAAAATCGTGGTTTAGTTCTCTTATGTGGCCATAGACCAAAGACAGCTTGTCCTTGCTGTTGATTGCAAGTTGGTGTTCGTGCAATCTTGTACCGAGGCGTTTGCCCGTTTCACCAAGATACCTCGCATTGCAATTTAGACATGGTATGATGTAGACCACCACCGACTGTTTTGTTGTTGGTAGCGGGTCTTTAGGCTTCATGATTTGCTGTCTGATGGTGCATTCTGGTTTATGAGCCACGCCAATCCCAAAAGGTTTCAGGATTCTTGCCGTTGCCTCTGATACGTTCTTCACATAGGGTATTGAGATCCAGAACTTGGGCTTTTCTCCACTCGACCGCTCAAAATGAGGCTTTTTGAGACAATTGCGTATGAAGGACTTCGGGTAGCCTTTGGCTTTAAAAAGGGCCTGTAAATAATGCATCTCCTCCTTCCTCCCACTGCCGTCTCTACAGTGTGTTTGAACACGTTGAAAGAGAGTTCTGACACAACTACGTTTATGACCAACAGGGTGGTTGCTTCGGAAGTGGAGGATGCGCATGGTATTTGTTGCCTTACGGTAAACCGTTGTCCTTATCTTCCCACCTGTCAATCTCGTAACTTGTACGTCCAGGAAGGGCAACGGATTATTGACCTCCTCTTCCATAGTAAACTGAATATCGGGAAAGATGGAGTTCAACAATGCCTTGAAAGCCTTCACCTCGCTCCTCTTGATTACAACGAACGTGCCGTCGACGTATCTGGCCCAGAACTTCGGGGTGTACGAGGTGAAGACCTACCGCTCGAGTCTCTGCAAAACTGCTTCGGCA